TTCTGGGTGTGTCTGAGGGCATTTCCAGAGAGGATTGACTAAGAGGGGAAGGACCCACCCTAAATGTGGGTGGCACCAACCAATCAGCTGCAGGCTGGGTGGAATAAAAGAGAAAGAAAGAGGAAGGCTGTAGGCACAAGTATTATCTCTTTCTCTCTGCTTCCTGACTGCTGTGAGGTGAGTTTCTCTGCTAGAACACACCATCGCTGTCATCATGGACTGAAAGCATGAGCCAGAATAAATAATTTTGCCCTTTAACTTTTTTTCTCAAGTATTTGTCATAGCGATGGAAAACTCAGTAACAGAAAATTGGTACCAGCAATAGGGTCACTGCTGGGACTAAGCCTGACCATGTAGTTCTTAAGCCTTTGGAACTGGTTTGTGGGAGGAATTTGGAGAAATTTGGAGATGTGGGCTAGAGAAGCCTTAGAATGCTACAAGCAGAGCTTCATGGGTGACTCTTGGGAGCTGAGAAGACCAGAACGCTGATAGGAATGTAGGCAGTAAAGACTGCTCATGAAGTTTCATAGGGAAACAAGGAGTCTGTGAGGAACTGGAGTAAAAGGTCATTTTAAGCACACTGTGGTACATAACCTGTCTACATTTTGTCAATGCCCTAACACTTACTGGGAAGCTGTGTTTAAAGGTGACAAACTAATCTGGACACAGGAAATTTTAAAACAAACTAGCATTCCATTTATGGCCTGGTTATTTCTGGCTGCTTTTGGTTAAGTTTTCAGGGAAAATTATGAGCTGAAAGGAAAGGTTTGAAAAATTTTCAATTTGTCCAGAAAAGAAGTGTATGTTAAGTTGGAGCCAAGGACAATACAACTGATGAAGAGGTTACTGCCATTAAAAAGTATGTATTATACTATGCCATTAAAAAGTAAGTATTATATGGAAATGTCACAGTGAATCCTCCCCACCCTGTAAAACTAATATAAATGCTAATAAAAATGTTTTTAAAAAATTAAAAAAGAAGTCAAATTCTTAGCATCAGGAACAATAGGAACAATGACTTGAGGGCATCTCAGGAATTGGTGGGATCCCACCCATTGCCATTGCAGGTTCAAAGGTGTAAAGAATTTAACTCACTTGGTGCTTTGCTTTGAGGAGAGAGCTCTGGGGCTTCCCACTAGCACAGCACTGCCTAGTGAATTGTTTTTGTAAGTTTAGCCATTGAGGTACTCAGAAGCTGCTGCAGCCATGGTCCAAGTGGGCCAAGTGGGCCTGAACTGGCAGCAGACCTTTTTGTCATACATGTGATACTGGTTGTTTGGGCATGTAGAATGCAAAAGTTACAGGATCATGGAGGCTTCTGCATAGATTTCAAAGGAATGTTGGGAGGCCAGGCAGTGTGGACAGGGTAGGAGTTTCTTCAGGTAGCCCCTGAGAGGGTGACACATGAAGCTGTGAGAATGAAGCTAAAGCAGCAATGGAAACTCCATAAAGTTGGAGATACTGGGAGCTTGGAACATTTGCCAAGGAATGCTGCAGTGCCAGTCCAGGAGAGAGGTCATCTGGGCTAAAGCCAGCAAAGCCATAAGGTCAGGGCTGACCAGCCCTTTGGAGCTCACATTACACCACCATGTGCCCAAGATGCTACAGGATTTAGTGTTTACCCTGCTGCGTTTCAGTCCTGGTTTGGGTCCCATTCCTCCTTCCCAAGCCCATCTTCCTCACTTTTAAAATGGGATGTTTGTGCTATTATTATGTCTTGGGATTATGTAACTTTTCTTTTTATTTTAAAGGGCTTTCCTCATAGCCAGCGTTTTCCTTGAGATTCAGAAGAGACTATGGATTTGGACTTTTGAAAATTTTGGAACTGTTAAGAATATGGGGTTTCTTAGAGAAGGACTGGCTGCATTTTACATGAGCTTTTCGGGGTACAGGGGTAGAATGTAATAGTTTCAGATGTATTGGGTTTCAAGTTGATTAAGGTTGGAGATTTGATGGTTAATTTTTTTTTTCCAGCACTGGGGACTAAACTCAGGCCCTTAAGCTTATTAGGCTAATTGAGCTACATCTTTAGTCCTTTTTGCTTTACTTTATTTCTCAGATAGGGTATTGTACTTTTGCATTGGTCTTGGACTGAAATCCTAACTCTACCTCCTGTGTAACTGGGACCATAGGCATACATCACCACATCACCACATCTAGCTTGCTTTGTTTTTAGATAGAATCTTACTAACTTTTTGTTTTGCCCAGGCTGACCTCAAACTGTGATTCTCCAGTCTCTGTCTCCTGCATGGCTGGGATTACAGACATGCACCATAGCACCCAGGCTGGTTAATCTTGATTGGATTGAAAAGTACCTAGGAGGTTAGTAGAGCACATTTATAGATGTGTCTGTGGAGGCATTTTCAGAGAGGATTAACTAAGGGGGGAAGACCTGCTCTGGATGCAGGTCACATTATCTAATAGGCTGGGGGCCTAGACAGAACAAAAAAGAAAAGAAAGAGGAAGCCCCTAAGTGTAGACATTCTCTCTCTCTGCTTCCTGGCTCTCATGGAGCCATACCCTCTGCTCTGCCACACCCTCTCTGCCATAATAGACAAAAACCTCTGAAACTGTGAGCCAAAATAAATCCTTCCTCCCTTAAACTGTTAAGTCAGGTATTGTGTCACGGGGACAAAAGTCTGTCTAACAACTCCTCATTCAATGCTCCTCAGAACCTTCCTAGTATAATTAGAAGAATATCCTTTCATCTGACCATGGTCTACAAGGCCCACCTTGCCTTGTGTCTTTCTCCTCTCCATTTACCTCATTCCAGCCATGCTGGCTTTCCTCTTGCAACTTCAACATGGAAAGTCATTCTCATCTGAGGGCTTTGATTCTTGCTGTGCACTCTGCCTACAACATTATTCTCCCATTCAGCTTCTCCTTATTATTCTTATCTTGCTAAAATGTCATCTTTTTGGCCTTGACCCTCCTTTCCCAAAGTGCATTCTTTTCCCCAATCCATCGACTGCACTCAATCCATTGACTTCTTTTTGTTTTCTTCCTCACATCTAGAAATATCTGAAATGTCTATTTAGCGTCTCTCTCTCCCACTAGAACATAAACAGCATGAAAACAGGAGCCTTGTTCATATTATCTACATGTCTTGGCATCTAGTATGGAGCAACTTCTTGGTTCATACACTGAATGCATTCATGACAGTCATATACATGGAATGATTGATAGATGCCCTATAAAATAAAGTCAAACGTGATAAGTAAAACTCTTTATATAATAATTTAAAACAACAAAATCGTGTTCCTGATGAGCATTCAGGACTGAGAAAAGTCTTAGAAAACAGCGTAACTATCATTTTACAGTGTTCTGAGAACTGCAGAATGGCAGTAAGCCACCAAAGTGAGAGAGAGGTAGGCTTGTCCAGGTCCCCACTGCAGAATTAATACACAAGCTGCTCCTTCTTACATGCACATGGATGATTGTATAGAACTCATAGACTATACAAGGCATATTCAAATTCAGCACCACCCTGCATTGCAAGAAAAATATGACTTTAAATCATAAAATTGATTTATCTTAAATTAATATATTAGTGTTCCTAATAAATAACCTTTTAATCAGCAGTATGCCTGTATTGGAATTTAGAGATATTAGGTCAAGTGTGGTGACAAACACCTGTGACTCTAGCTACCAAGGAGGTGAGAACTGGATTGCAATTCAAGACCAGCCCAGAAAAAATGTTAGCAAGATCCCATTTCAACAAATAAACTGGTCATGGTGGCACATATCCATGTAATTCCAGCTACATGGAGGTGTAGGCGGGAGGATCTCAGTCTGAGGCCAGCCTCAGGCAAAAAACACAGGACCTTATCTGAAAAATAACTCCAAATTTAAAAAATATTTTTTTTTGGCAATGCTGAGATTTGAATTTAGAGTCGCACTTGCTGCTATGCAGGTACTCAAACCATTTGAACCAACCCCCTCCCCCAGCCCTTTTTAATTTTAGTTGTTTTTCACGTAGTGCTTTGTGTTTTGCCTAGGGCCAACCTAAGATGCAATCGTCCTGCCTATCGCCTCCCATGTAGCTGGGATAACAGGTGAGTACCACCTTATCTAGCTTATTGCCTGAGATGGGGGGGTCTTGCTAACTTTTTGACTGAGCTGGCCTTGAACCCCAATCTTCCTGGTCTCCACCTCCTGAGTAGCTGGGATTACAGGTGTCAGCCACTGTGCCAGGTCCCAGACCTGATTCTCAACAATACAATGAGGAAAGCCCAAACTGATGCTTACAGTTTCTCTCCATAAAGGTCCTGGAATATCACTTCCAAAGGTGACCTAGGTATATGTCATTATCTGGGTGATTTTAATTAAGGGTCAGACTGAAGTATATAATATGTCTCTCTTGAGTACCTGGTTGTGCAAGTATTTGGGGAACCATGTTCCAGGCAGAAGGAATAGCAAGTCTAAAAGCTCTGAGGTGACAATTCCTGGAAATTGAGAGAGGCCTGGGCCACATTAAATTTTGAGACCCTTGGCATTCCTTAATTGTCTCAAACAAAAAATGTTGAAAGAGGGTTACCCAAATTATGGAATATTTTAAATATTTACATTGAACAAATTAGCATATTAACTTCCAAAAGGGTGCCTTACAATTACAAGATTCATAAAAAATACTTATTACGTGGTAGGCAAGACCCTGTGATCTCCTGCAAAGGACACACATTGTAAAATTGTGCCCCTGCTCCTTGCAACTCTGCCTGAGTCTCTGGGATGTGTATCTGCAAATCATGGTAAAAGTCTAAGTGTGAGGCTCTTGATGAAGATGGCTATTCCTAGCACAGTGGCCCTCCTAGTGCCCACCACAGGCCTGTGTATCTGCATGCTTTGCTTCCTGGTTCATTTCTCTGTAAGCAAGCTGAGTGGGAAGAGGATGGTGAGGATGGAGTACATCTTGGTCACAGAAATCCAGATGAAGCCAAATATTCAAAAGCTGAGGAAGGGATAGAGGTTTTTTTTTTTCAGTTTAGGACTTTAAAACCAACCAGCCAAACTGATGTAACCATCTTCACTTCTCTTGGACCACCTTCTCTCCATTCCTGAGGGAAACTGAGTCACTGCTGCTGCTTGAGATTCACAGTGGACTAATCCAGAATAAGGACAATTTGCCATGGCCACAGCCAAATCTTAACATGGACATTCCAGGCAGGGAGGGAAACCAGATCAAATTTCCTATGTACTAAATAAAGCCCCAAAGCCTCACTAGCATTTCAGATGCCTATTCTGAAGGGTCTATCTGTGCCTAAGCAGTCTTAAGAAAGGAAATCAAATCTTCCTTAAGAGGTAGGGAACAACTTGATAGGCAGCAGGCGTGTGTGTGTGTGTGTGTGTGTGTGTGTGTGTGCGCGTGCGTGCACAGGAGTGAAGAGATGGATAGCTTGAGATGACTTTTAACTTCAGAAAATCACCTCCCTAGTGGGCCTGTGAGATAACAGCTTTAATTATCCGAAGGGGCCCCTTCCCATGTCTGGTCTCTTTCTCTACACAGCCAAAGACAAAAAAGCTTCACGTAAATGACTGTGACTATGGTCCTATTCATCTTTTTTAGAGACACTACCCATCTAATAAGCTTTAGTTCTTAATTATTTTTACAAGAATGATGTTTAATCGAAGCTAATGATATCAGGGAACTTGAATCACCACATGAATTAATATAGCAATATGAATTCTTCATCATCTTCTCTCTTTGTTTGTCCCAATATTAATTAGAATTCTTTTCCCAAAGAAAGTGGAGTCCCAGGAATGCGCAAGATAGCCCCCTTTTATACTCACGGTAGACATATTCCAAGAGTGTGGCAGACTACAGAAAGACTGGTTTGGGTTAGCGATTAGTTGCTTAGATTTGCTCAAATCTGGGATGTTAACATATTCTTAATTTTAACATACTATAAACCAAAACCTATAAGAAAATGGGCTTATGATTTTAACAGAAATTCACAGAATAGGAAATACAGATGACCTTTTCTTCTTCTTTTTTTTGAGATACGATCTTATCATGTAACCCAGGTCGATCTTGAACTCAAAATCCTGCCTCAGTCTTTCTAGTGCCAGGATTACAGGCCCAGGCCACAAGGCCCAGCTACAAATGACCCTTAAAACTAAGAAAAGATGTTAAGTCTTACTCATAAGAAATATAAATTAAAATTACATAAGATACCTTCTCTTTTTTAACTTCTCAGTTTAGCAAAACCCTGTAAGTTGCTTTTGAGGCTGTGGGAAAACATATTCTCATACAATGCAGATGGAAATATGAACTGATATGACTTTTCAAGGAGAAATTTGATAACACTTATTAATATTATACATGCTATGCCCTTTGGCCCAGAATTCCACTACTGTGGTTTATTTTCTATATTGCTTATACATAAATATATAATATATGTAAAGGGATATTCATTATAGTAATTTTCCAGTAGCATGATATTGGAAATACCTCAAATGTTTATAAATATGGACAGGAAACAACTCAAATATTCATAAACAAGAGATTAAATAAATTGGGGTGTACCAATATAAAATACATTATGAAGGTATAAATAACGATGAACCATTTCATTTGCAAATATGGAAAGATCTCTCAGACATATTTTCAGTAGAAAAACAGTATAGCACAGTGCATATAATGCTATAATTTACTTTAAAAAAGAGAATTTTGGACATGAATTTTTATTTGCTTACATTTGCATAGAGAACATCTGGAAGAATTCTTTTTTTCATGGTATCTTTTTGTGTGTCAGGATGGGGGTACATTGGAGTATTTACAAAGGTTCTTACAATGGTATCAAATATAAAACTAATCAAGTTGGTATTCCTTTTGTGTAGGTAGTAGATAGCTAGGGCTATGGAAGAGACAGAATCTTCTCACTGTGCACCTTTTTTTATATTTTAAGTTTTGATTCTGGTTATACCAGAATCTACCTATTTTAAATCTGCCTATTCATAAAAAAAGTAAAGCAGAAAGCATGATTGATTAGGTTATTACAATTTCTGGATTTCCAAAAACATGTTTTATATATCTTACTGAATGCCCTTAAAATTTTCTTCAGCAGCTTTCTTTGCCAAGGAAGTTTAATAACTATAAAAAGATAAACATTGAAAGACATTTCATAAATGCATGTGCATAATGAAACAGTTACAAAGATTCAGTAGCAAGGTAGTGAATTAAGTTTCTTGAGAATTAACATTGATTGAATGTCATACTTATAAAAACAACTAGGAACTAAAGCTTATTAGATGGAGTCTGCTGAGAAAAGAAAAGCACCACCATTGTCTATATTATAAGAGAAAAAAACTGGGATGTTCAGTAGCTACCACATATCATCTCAGTAAGATAAATAAGGGATGTGTTTCTTTTTTAAACAGGTTATCAGAGAATTCAAATTCCTATTACTCTATTACCATTAAAATTGATATTGAGGTGATGTCAAGAACCAGGGTGTCTGAAATAATCTGATATAAAATATCAGAGTCATTTCCTTCAAGATTATTTTGTTATTGTTGTTGCAGTTCTTTGATGTCTTACAAATCAAAAATGCAAAAAAGAATCCAAGGGATCAAGATAAAGACATAAGACAAAATAAGACTGAAAGACACATTAAATTCAAATGAAGCAGACCAGGTGTAGTGGATCAAGTCTGTAATCCTAGTTACTTGGGAGGCAGAGATCATGAAGACTACTGTTCAAGGCCAAACCAGGCAAAAATTTCTAGAGATCCCCCATCTCAAACAATAAAAGCTGGGCATGGTGGCACGTGTCTGTCATCCCAGCTATGTGGGGATGTACAAATAGGATCGCATGAAACACATGAATAGAGAAACAGTTCAGGAGCCATACATAGTAAAGTAGCATTATAACTAAGAGTTACATTTTTCTCTTAAAAATGGACCCAAAGTCTTATATAAGGCATTTTTAGATGGGCATATAAAGCTCACAATTTAAAAATAACATATTGAAAACTAGGTGCTAGATTGAAAGGCCCATTGGGTCACTGTATAGTGAGGAAAAATTGGACATAAGTAGAAGAGCCATTGTGGGTGGTTTTCCTGCAACTCCCTGAATCAACAACAAACCTTAGAGAACTTTTTTGCCTTCTTCCTGGCTATCTTAGCAGCATGATATTCGTACTCAGACCCACTTAGAAAAGAATGAAGCAATAAGCATCCAGTGTTTGCCATTATCAGGAGTAAAAGAAATGGAAATCATAAATGAGCACTGAAGGTGAAATCAATGAAGGCTATAAAATGACCAAACTATTAAACTTTTTTTGTTTTATTTGCTTTGTGTAGGAAAACTAAAAGGAGGAAAGAAAAAAATATAGGGCAATTATGAAGCAGAAACCTCTTAACAGTGGTTACAAAAGCAGTCGACTACATAATACTCATGTGTTTTATTCTCCAGTGAATGAACAAACTTGCAGAGAATACTGTATGTACATAGGCTAAAAAGAATGAGGTTAAAAATTGTTGGTTTACCATTAGATGGTTTGGATTGCTGAAGAAGGAGTAGAAGTAATTGCTCACTTGGGATTGAACTTATTACAAACTTCAACTAAGAACAAGTCTTATTTAGAAAGTATTTTACAGAGGGTGGGAGCATGCTCAAGTGGTAGAACTCAAGGCCCTCAGTTTAAATCCTGGTACTGTCAAAATAGATAGAAAGATAAATAAATAAACTTTAAAAAAGAAAGGAGGTTATAATTTAAGTGCAACTCTACATCATTGCTTCATTTCATGAGCTGACATTATGCCTATACTGAAGATGAAATATACAGGTCAAAGTTCAGAGGCAGCAAGATACCTGTCAAAGTTGTATAGGTAAAAAAGTAGTAGAGCAGAGAGATTCAAATCCCATTCATGAATCCCATTCATGAATCCCATTCATAATCCAAATTATCTCTGCTCCCCAGATCCTCAAGAATAGGAATACATTCAGGTAATAAAATCTTAGTGGTTTTATTACCACTGAAAAGCTTTTGCCAAAAAGCTTTAATTTTAATGAACTCTAACGTATATATATATTTTTCCTTTTGATGCCTGTAGTTTTGGGGTCACAGCCAGGAAAACATTAAAGTGATTTAATTCTGACTAACCTCTGATATATTCCAAGTATATATAGACCATATTTATCTTCAGGATTCAAAACAAAATTTTCTACTTGACTTTTGATGTCTCTTTGGTTTTAATTTGGTCAATGTATTCAAATGACTATTTAAACTGACCCTTAGGTCCTTTTCTGAATTTTAGCTGATAGTAGCTCAGCTCATTATCATTTTATAGATATAATTTGAATTTTTAATTTTAGATTTATTATCTTTTGGTTATCCTCAGTTAAAACCAATATTTGCCACTTTATTATTATTATTATTGTACAGCAAAGTATTTCCTGAAACATAGCTTCATCCTTATTTCTTTCTTTGTTCCTTGTTTTCTTTCTTGTATCCTCCCCAATATTCATTCAAATTTTTATTCAGAAATTTCAAGGTGCAAAGGTGGACAATGGGAAGAGAATTTTACTTCATAGGAGTCAGTGTTTGCTCCCATTTAAAACGTTTTCTACAACATCATGGAAGTTAACATCATTCTGATTTTGTTTCATTATTTCAACTGTTTCTTCTTTTCCCATACTTATACTTACCCTCTCAAAGGGCTAGAGTAGTTTACATATTGGTCAGTACCACTACTTTACCTTTAATAATTAAATAAAATGTTTCATTTGAAAAAGTACAAAAATATGTAACAAGATGATTTATAATTTTGAGTCAAAATATGTAATAGGTTGGTATATTTGTGAATTAATCCCCAAAGAAAGAAAAAAATAGAAGTAAAGCAACATTGTAAAGCAAAATGGATATATTAGATTGTGAAATGTTTCTTGCCTCTGCATAATAAATATAATTTATTGCTTCTCTCTGAATATATTAGAGAAATAAAGCATGTAAAAATAATCATTTATGCTAAGGACATACAGCAAAGAGTCAAAATTATTCTCTGCAGCAAGTGCTAGGCTGATGATTAATAGCATGTACATTCATTTTCATACCTCTTGCCCTTTTTAATGTATCTCTAAGGAAAGACAGTGGTTATTATTTGGTTTTCCCCATGTGAACTTTCTC